CTCAAAGTGAAATAGTTCAAAAAAGAAAAGACAATTATTTGAGAAGGGAGAGAGTATTCAAACAAAAAATGCTATATTTATAATATTATGTGATATTATAAATTTATAATATAATATATTATTATATAATCAATTTTTTATTTAAAAATTCATTCTTAATATTATATATTGATTTATCTAATATTATATTATATTTATTTAATTTTATAATATAATACTAAATTTATAATTATAATATTACTATATTCATACTGAATCAAATAAACTAATGGAGTTACATTCTGATTACTTTTTTCAAAATGAGTAATGATAGGGGGAATGATTTTGGGGGACGAAATCGAAAGACGACAAGTGAAGCAAGGCCAAATTGATAATTGCTGTTGGGACTGCTTCACTTGTCATCCTCCATTTTTATCTTAAAAAATCGTCTTCCCTATCATTACTCCTTTCAAAATTACTGTAAATATCTTTTTAAGTAGTTAGAGAAATATCATCCATCGGTTCATGACCTTCCAAACTTAAAGGCAAAATCCCTTCTCCAGCTCTCAAACTTATCAAAAAATAATATTTAAGTTTCTAAACTAAAAATGAAACAGACAAACTAATCAACTCCACTAACAACGTAAATAAATTATTTTCACAAATAAGTCAAACAGTATTTCATGTTTAATTTCGTCTTGAAAAAGCATGAACACCCATAAATAAGAATGACTTATTTACATCATTAGTGAAATTAAAAAATTTATTTACTTTATTTTTAATGTAAGTACTTAAATACTATTTTAAGATAAATTTAAACACTTAAGAAAGGTTTTTACCAAACTTAAATACTGATCAACAAATTTGAAAAATAAAAATTAAAAAATAAAATCTCGTAGACCAACCAGGACAGAGCCCCATGTGGATGGGGCATCTACTTATTTGACATGAGTGGTAATTAAATGTTAGGTAAGGAAAGCTTCTTCTGATGTACAGCCACCAACAACAGTCCACAAGTAGTTCGGTGGCACCGGCATGGATATTACCACACAAAACACTGATTCCATTTGGCTTCGTTGTTAATAGGTAATAATTAATATGTATAATTATTATTTAGTTGTTTAAATTCTGATATTTTATTTTTTAATATTATATGTAAAATTATTATATAAATTAATATTTTTAATATTATAATTAATTTAAAAAATAATATACTAATAAAATCAATTGAATTAAACATAAAAAACATATTGAGAAGTTCTCATGACCCAATAACCAATTATACTTTATTAAAAACATTTTAATTTTATAGAGGTGTGAAGTTTTCGAGCTCCACTGCACATTTGAAAAGGAAAACATTTAAAACATATTATTTGTGTGGCGATTGACAAGACCCACGCCGGTGCATTGTCTATTTTCCAAAAAAGAAAAAGAAAAAGAACAGAACCACGCCGGTGGCATCTTTCTGTTTTTGTTTATTTGGAAACAAACTGGAAATTCTTTATTCACGATTTTTGTGCAGAATTCCTGGAACCACCACACCCACAGTAACCGAAGAAAAGGAGTCCCTCAACACAGCAAAAGTAGAGAGGAAGATCGGAGATGGGGGTGATAAGGTCCGCTATTGGAGATGCAGTCCTCACTTCCATGTGGGTCTTCAGCATGCCGCTGCTGAGGATTTTCACAGGAATCATAGCAACCTACCTCGGCGTTCAAGCCATACCCCTTGCTGATCTGTTCATCACCATCAATCTCGTCACTCTTATGGTGCTCGGTTTCAGCTTGGTAGGCACCCTGTTTGGAGGCGCCAGCTTCAATCCCACCTCCACCGTCTCCTTCTACGCCGCCGGCCTCAGGCCGGACTCTTCCCTCTTGTCCATGGCAGTCAGATTCCCAGCTCAGGCGGCAGGTGGCGTGGCTGGCGCCAAGACAATCTCGCAGGTGATGCCTCAGAAATACAAGTATGCTCTTGGAGGCCCTTCTTTGAAAGTGGATATGCATACTGGAGCCATTGCTGAGGGGATGCTGACCTTTGTGCTTTGCCTGGCCCTCCTGGTGGCCATGCTCAAGGGTCCCAAAAACCCTCTGCTGAAGGTATGGTTGGTGGCTGTGGTGACCGTGGGACTGGTTATTAATGGTGCAAAGTATACAGGGCCTTCCATGAACCCTGCAAATGCATTTGGATGGGCATATGTAAACAACTGGTACTATACTTGGGAGCTTTACTATGTTTATTGGATTTGCCCTCTAATTGCAGCAGTTGTCGCTGGTTGGGTTTATCGGTTGCTCTTTCCTAAACCAGTGATGAAGCAGAAAAAGGCATAGGAGAGGTAAAGTCATGTCCATCATAAATTGAAGACATTCCTCTGTTCTTGTACTAGTATTTGTAATTCCAACTTAGTCTTGTTATGTATGTGGTTCATATGATGATCCAATTGACAAAAACAGAGTGTTCTGTCAAATGAAAGATTATTCAAGATTTGAGAATTGGGATATGAATTAAATTGTGCCTCGGTAGATAGCGCTGTCCTCTTTTTTTCTTTTTCCTTCTGAAAATCACTTGGAATTGAATTCATTGGGGGTGGGAGAGGAAAGGGTCATGATTAATTAAATTTGGCATTGGTAATATGTACATGATTTGAAGAATGAACAATTCCAACGTGGAGATGCATGCATTTGCAACTTTTGGTTTAGTTATAAAACAGAGGAGGGGTTCACCTATTATGTAAAGAAAAGAAAAAGACGATACACATCATCAGAGAAAACGAAAATGCAGCCCCCGGGAGCTACTAAGGAGAGTCCAATCTCTCTGTCTCCAGTGAAATATGAAAATGCCATTATTTTGAAAGTGCAGAGACAAGGAAGAGCTGATGTCTATTACAGGATTGACAAAAACACCCCACTCAGATGTCTGTTGCTTCATTACTGTGGCTATATGAATCTTATTTCCGACCATGTGAGATTCCTTTATGATGGTACAAAGGTGAAGATGGAGAGCACAGCCCGAAGTTTGAAAATGGAGGACGAAGATACCATCGATGTCATGTCCGAGCAGCTGGGTGGTGGCTGTCTAGCTTGCCCCTTTTGCATCATAACGTTTGAGGAATTATGCTTCTGTTAAACTCTTTAATGCTGGAATAAATTGAATCCAATTAGCCTTAGCCTTGCTTATGGGTCTCACTGGTGGTATAATATTGATGTCTGTATATTAATACTTCTGTTTTTGCAACAGTTAGAAATCTGTTTACCTTCCTGCCATACAAGGCAGGAGGGAGGTTTGAAGATTAATCATACACCCTAAAAACAAAAAGAATCCGCAAAGGGGATGAACTTCTACACCAAACATGTTCCTGTCTATATTTGTTCATCCAAATAGATATTCGGATTCAACCCTTTCTCCCCTTCTGTATCATCACATTCAACTCTTTTATAAACAAAACCCTTAGCAATCCCCAAATAAACACACAAATTAACAGCACTCAACCCCGCCAAAACCCAATAGAAGTAGTCCAAGTGTGCGCGGTTGAGATTATTTCCGAGCCATGCCTTGCCATGTCTTGAACTAATATTCTGCACGATGGATATAATAGCAGTGTTCACAAAGCTACCAATTCCCACTATGCTTATATAAGCTGCAGCCCCCACACTTCGCATTACCTCCGGCACCTGATCATAGAACAGTTCTTGTAATCCAACTACGGTGAAAACATCAGCAATTCCACATATTATGTACTGCGGAAGCAACCACAATATGCTCATCGGAACCGTTGCCTTTGGAGAGTCAATTATGCCATGTTCTTTAGCAATGTTGACCCTTTTGGCCTCCACAAGGGCAGCAGCGACCATCATGAGTATAGAGAGAAATAGGCCTACGCCTATTCTCTGCAGCATGGTTATGCCTGAGGGATGTCCAGTTACTTTCCTGGCTATTGGGATAAGAATCCGGTCGTAGATGGGGACAGCGACGAGGATTGTGAAACCTATGACGCTTTGGAGGGCTGCCGGAGGAACCTGGAAGTGGGGTCCAATTGATCGGATCATTGTGCTGCCCTGCTTGGTGAAGAAGGTGTGGATTTGGACAATGACCGCACAGTACATGAGGCAGCCCAACCATATGGGTATGAGGCGGAGCACAAGCTTCACTTCCTCCACTTGGTTTAAAGAGCATAGCCGCCATGGATTCCTGGTTTTGCTCGAGGCATCATTGTCGTCGATCATCATTGCCTTGTCCAGACATCTGCAGCAATGTAACAGAAGTTGACATCTCCTAAACATGTATTTACATTTTTTTGATCTTGACATTTTCTTCTAAACTTTGTTTTTCTACTTTCCTGAAAACAATGTACTAGTAGTAATTTTACAGGGTACATACGAGGAATTTTTGCTTGGAAAATAGGACCTGTTTCTAACTTTCTACTGACTACTGAGCAAATTTTAATCAGAAAACATGCATGTTCTATCCAAAAGTACGAAAAAAATAAACTTCTTGGTAGATCAGCCTATTTGATAATACAAATAATTTAAACAAAAATTGAAGTATCAAAATCTCCTCAAAACTAATTTCTTTCTAGGCATAGGCAAGGTTTTACAGAAACGAAAGGGAGGGGATCCCCTTACCGACTCTTAATTGGTTAGACACATCTCTATCCATTCACCAACATATTCTTTACACACAAAAAAAAAAAAAAAAAAAAATCTATTCATCAACAATATCAATACTTTGAAGTTAAATATAAATAAAATTAAAAAAAAAAAAAAACATAGCCATGTCTAATTTTTTTCCCACTTAAAAATATGTTTGGTTATAAATTAATTTTATTAAGAAAATTTTTATTACAAAAGTTTTAAGGAAATTGCTATAGAAAAAAAATTAGAAAGTATTATATAAAATTTTAATATATTTTGTAATAAAATTTTCTTATGTTGTTAATTTTTTAATATTTGATAAAACAAATTCTCATATGTTTTTTTTAAATCCTTAATATGAAAATAAAAAAAAATTTATGTCTATTATTCTTGGAAAGAGATAGTAAGAAATTGACATAAAAATATTGATAGGAAAGTTGTAAAATGAATCTTTCATAAAGAAAATTTTTTAAAAATGTAAACAAATATTTATTAGTTAAAAATTATATTAAAAAATTAAAAATATTATTTTTATTTTTTATAATATCAATATATAAAATATATAATTAACTTTGCTGACTACCGAGCCGCCGCTAGAAGGAAGTATCCATAGAAAAGTGTCTGACAGTGACGACACTCTGATGTATACTGTATAAAAAGGCGCACAAATTTCCGTTACGGGTCCAGAATTTGTGGTTAAAATAGGCGTTCCCTCAAAACTGGGGTCAAATGGGTCATGGGGTTACAGCTTTGAGCACTCTCAAAACATGAGCCGATTGGGCCATGGGTCATGGGTCACATTTTTGGGTCTTCTCAAAACGTGCAAAACATGACTTGTTGGGAAGAAAAAGACTGATATGTTAAAGAATTTATTATTTAAAATCTAATAATTAAATGTTACGCGCAAAATGCACGTTTTCTTAACTTTTTTTTAAGGGCTTTTAAGGTAAGA